CCGACGTTTCGAGAGCTTTACAGCACTCATGGTCACGGGAAGGACTGAGATGTTCAACGTCCAGATGTCATAGTTAACCGCGATGTCAAAGTTCACAATGGAGTTAGAGGCAAACAATTCCTTAGCTTTTCTAGATGTGTTAGTAATTCGGAATCCTGATAACACCTTGAGCCATACTGTGTATAGAAAAAATACCCATACAGATAGATATTTAAACGGTGATTCTCACCACCATCCTTCACAGTTAGCTACCGTGGGTAAATCTTTGTTTCAGAGAGCACGAGGGATCTGTGACAGTAAACACATGGCTGCCGAGCTCCAACACGTCAAGCAAGTTTTGCATGACAACAAGCTTCGGGTCCCGCGCCTACGTCACAGAGAACGAGTGAAGCCGGCCACAGTCGAGCGTGTACCTGCTGTACTGCCATATGTTAGAGGAGTCACTGACAAGATTGGCTACATCTTGAAGCGCGCTTCCATCAAAACATACTTCAAGCCGCTGAAGAAGATTGGTCAGTTTTTATCATCAGTCAAGTGTAACGTCCCTCTGCAAGATGCAGGAGTGTACAAGCTTGATTGTGAATGTGGTCTCTCCTACATAGGACAAACTAAAAGATCAATTAAAACCCGCGTTAAAGAACATATAGCTGATGTGAAGAATCGACGCTCCGGGAAGTCTGCAGTCTGTGAACACGTACAGGATCGCCCCCGTCACTACATCAGATTTAATAGACCACAAATCCTCGCTAAAGAACACCGATTCCTTCCAAGGATGATTCGCGAGGCTATTGAAATCAAAAAACATCCTAATTTCAATAGAGAAGATGGCTGGGTGCTATTATCTGCTTGGGATCCTATAATAAATAAAATTAAATCCCAACCCAAGCATAAAACTGCAAGACTTCATGATACCATAAGTTCATACTGTGTAGATCGGAACAAAAGTTAAATTTTAATCTATGGTAACCGCGGTTAACTATGACATCTGGACGTTGAAAATCTCAGTCCTTCCCGTGACCATGGGTGCTGTAAAGCTCTCGAAACGTCGGGTATTTAAAAAGTTAAATATACGCGATAAATTCCGTAAAAACTAGTATTATTTCAATGTGTAGTGTTCGCGTAAATATAAGAAATCATTATCTCGTGGATTCTTGTATATTTGGTTCGAATATGCCTTTATGTCTACTGTGAATTTACAGTTAAGTTTTTTTTTTTCTATGTGTTCTTATATTTTATAAATGTCGCTTGTTCAATTAATATTTAACTTTAATTTATTGAATTATTTAAAAAAAAATTTTATGTATGCCATAGCAATCATAAGACATTTTGCTAACGTTATTTGCGTAATGTTATCGTGCAATTACAAACATAGATTTTATAGTATAATTCTCAACTAAAAAGTTTATAAATCACTATTTACAACTTATCTTTGTTATTGCGTTTCGTTTAAGAAATTAAAATGATACCATAATAGCGCTATTTAACACAACGTTCATTATCATTTATAATAGTTTTTATAACGTTATGCTTAATTTTAGTGATTCAACGTTATACATACTTATTATTAATACTTTTAAAATTAGCTATAAATGATATTTAAGTTTTCTCTTTTTTCTTTTGTTTTCACGATTACTTTTTTATGTCAATTATTTTTTGTTACCTTTGTTAGTGGCTTTCAAACATTATTTTATACATTTTTAATAATGTAAATCTCTTTCAAACTGCTGGCGAGTTGGGCTTTCTTATATTTAATTTTCATAATTTTTGTTATTTAACAGTTTATTATATATATATATATATATATATATATATATATATATATATATATATAGTTTATTTTATAATATATTATGTCATTTGATAATAGTATTGTTAATGATGATTTTGGTGATTTTTTTGTCTTTGCCGTCAAATGATCATACATCTAGTGAGTTTAGCTTTCACAGTACAATGGCTTCTATTCCGTTAAACGATGCCATTAATTCGTACTTCTCAGATTCTCTGAAAATTATTAATGTGATACAACTAAATGCACAAAGTATTCCAGCACACTATAATGATATGCTTGTGTCTTTTGAGTCCCAAAACATCCACGCCATTCTCGTCGAATCTTGGATGAAGTCATGCTTACCATCCACTCCATACTCATTACCAGGATAATTTCATCTCATTCGCAACGACCGTATTGGTAAGGAGGGTGGAGATGTGGCGATTTACCTTCGTTCTTACATTCCCATTATTTTAATACATGTTTACTTAAAAGAGATAATCGGTGTAAAAAGCTACAATCTACTACTGAGGCGTGTAACTTACACATATTACTGCTTTCTGCTACACATAACCTTCCTGATTGTACTCCGACTTTACTTTACCTAATTAATGTGTCCTCGCCTGATTTTGTCCTGAAGCACAGCCAACACGAGGCTGATATTTTTTCTTACCATGATCTCTTATTCCTTACTTACAAGGTTCGTCCTCCGAAAGCCCCCTTCTGCAACGTAATTTAAGTGAAATGGACAAAAAACGCCTTATTGAACCGCCACTGCGGTCGATACAAATGTTCCTGTACAACTGTATGACGTTCATGCTCCAGTAAAACCTATAAACAAAACTAAAACTAAAAAAAATAAACACTTACCTGCTGTGGCTAACAGATTATCTTAAAAGATATAATCAAAAAAGGCTTCGCGAAAAGCAAGCTCAAGGCCGATAGATCTGAAAAAAATCTGCGCAGTTACAACAAAGTAGGGATGCACAACTACGTCACATTCACAAATCAGTAGAAAACGGCGACACTGCCATGGTTTGGAAATTTCTTCAATCACTTGGAGTTGGTAAAGCATCTCCTAGCTCATGGCATAATAATATTGATATTGAACTCCTTAATCAATATTTTACTTTATCTAGTACAATAGACAGCTCAGACAAAGAACGCACGCTGAGTATTCTTTATTCAATACCAACTCCTAATATCTCGCCGTTAAGGTTCACTCCTTTCACTGACTGTGATGTTAAGAAGAACATATAATCCATCTCGTCCAAGACCATGGGTGATGACAGTAATAGTCGTAACTTGATCTTACCTATCCTTGAATTTGTTACTCCCATTCTCACCCATATCCTGAACAAATCTATTTCCACCTCTAAATTCAGTGACGCTTGGTAAAGCGCAAAAATAATTCCTCTCCCTACGAAGGCCCAAGCCTCATATTTTACAGACTTTTGCCCCGTTTCCATTCTTCCATTTCTATCTAAAGTCCTATAGAAACTAGTTTTTCATCAATTATATACATATATATACCTCAATAGAAATTGCTTTTTAAATCCTCTTCAATCCGGTTTTCAGTCAGGTCATAGTACGACTACAGCTTTAGTTAAAGTTACTGACGATATTCAACGAGGTAAGGATAATAAACAGCTCACTGTGTTGGTATTATTAGATTTTAGCAATGCCTTCAATACCGTTGGTTTTAATATATTGTTAGGGCTGTTACGTTCTATTAACATATCTTCATCAATGTTTGGCTGGTTTCAAAGTTATCTTAGAGGCCGCCGGCAGAGCATTCGCATTGAAGATAAATTTTCACCTTGGTGTGAACAGCGAGCTGGAGTGCCCCAAGGTGGTGTGTTGTCTCCTTTACTCTTTGCTATCTTCATTAATTCAATCTACCAAAAAATATCTTCTCTCTATCACATGCATGCAGACGATTTTCAAGTGTATACGCAGTCAGCTCTTGAGGACTTGCCTACCGCTGTTTCTACCATCAGTGCTGACTTGGCAGCTATTAGCGAATGGAGTAAGTGCCATCGGCTTAAAGTGAATCCTTGTAAGTCTCTGGCCATTATTATTGGCAGTGCTGGCAAGATTTCAAGGCTTGACAGGAATAACTTTTCCTCGGTGGTATTGAATGGTGTTGTAATATCCTACAATACCACCGTTAAAACATTGGTGTCCACTTCGATACTACTTTTTCGTGGTCTCATCAATTGAAGGATGTTAGTAAAAAGACTTTTGCTGCTATGGGTTTGCTCAGGCGTTTACGTTCTTTTCTTCCCATTCCTACTAATATTATGTTAGCACAATCTTTACTCCTCTCTATTATCGATTATGCGGGCGCAAGCTATCTTAATTTAACTGAAGGTCAACTAAATAAACTTGAGCGTGTTCAAAATCTGGCTATTAGGTTCATATTTGGTTTGCGCAAATACGACCGTGTCTCTGAATTTCGTTTAAAGCTCAAATGTTTACCCATCCGCCTTCGCCGGAATCTTCAAATTGTTTTTCTTCTGTACTGTGTATTATTCAATCCAATGAGTCCTAGCTATCTGAAGGACAATTTTAAGTTTCTTGGTCATGACAGACCGGATAGAGTTCTACGGTCAGCCGAAAAACTTATACTCGCGCCACATTATTATCGTACTTAATACTTTAAGAATTCCTTCACAGTTAAGGCCATTTGCTTATGGAATGCTCTTCCTCCGCAAATTCGTCGAGCGAATACACTAGATAAGTTTAAAAATGACGTAAAAAATCACTACCTAGCTCTGCAGTAATCACTGGTCATCATTTGCGACATTTAATTTTTGTAACCTGTCTGTATTTATTTATGTAAATTATATGTATATTTGCCTATTTATTAATATGTAAGTCTATCATGTTTTTATTGTATATATTAGTGTATAAAACATTTTGTTATTATGTATCGGTTTTCTTTATTTATGTATTAGTATGTAAATTTGTTATAATATACACCACCTCCCACTGTCCAATAGTACAATTTTTAGCGATAAAAATGCCTTGTTGTACCTACCTCTCAAATATTACTTCCCGTAATCTGTTTTTTTTTTATAGTTTTGTGGTGTACAATAAAATATATAATAATAATAATAATAAAGTTTCACTCTGTAGATAATATTCTAATCCGCCACTACACGCTTATGTCTCGATTGCACGATATTTATTTATTATATGATACTATTGAACTACAATGTTTTAATACCAGATGCCAACGTTCCTCTTATAGATTCTTCAGCGATCTCCGAAATGAACATAGGGCCGTAGATGAGGGCAGTGCCGCCTCCTATTCCTCCAATGGACCTTCCTATTATGATCATCGTTGATGTAGAAGAGAGATTGACTATTGCCCATGATACCTGAGGATAAGCAAAGCCATTGACTATCCTTGGTGTTAATTCGAATTTCAAAATTAGTTATACATTTTTAAATACCATAGTGTATCAAATCCAAAAAACTGTTTTATGACTAAAAAGTACGTAAGCACTTCGACATATTCTGTGCTAAAAGAGAATGTAAGGTATTAAAGAAATTAAATATAGCTTTAAATTTTTGGCTTGCCATATTAGAAAGACAGAATTTAACAAAGTTGACTATCAAACACATTAGTTGTATTTAAATATTACGTTATTTTCATTACATAATTTAAAAGAATATCATGTTACTAACACTATGTTAGAACCATTCTTTATAGACTCTTTTTACTGTGAAACAAGGCACTCCATCGCCCTCCTCAGGAGTGACAACGCACTCTGCATTTTGATTCTTAATCAAGCATTGATATAGATGTCTATAGTCTACAATATCACTCACCATCAGGTGAACTGAGTGCTCGTTTTTCATTATGATTGTCTGGACAAAAGTTAATCCTAGAGAAAAATTAAAGATATTGGTTGCATATCTTTAGGTAGTCTACGCTAAGTAGTTGCATCTACGCAACTACTTAGCAGGCGAAGCATCATTAAGCGGTGTTGACTGTACACAATAAAGAAAGTGACCCTGCCACTCATAAAGATACGTACAATTAACTCTATAAAAGCTGTTTAAACTCGCTTAAACCAATATAAAAAAATATTTATTAGAAATACTTTATCGAATACTTCATCGAATGGCTCAGTTTCTCTTCATTGACTTTTTTAGAAGTGTGAAAAACGATTACATGTTCCAGGTAAGTGGATGGTGTGGCCCATAAACATTTACATTTCTCCTCGATTGAGAATTAAAATGCAGATGTGTTGTCACCCCTGAGGGCTAAGATGAAATGCCTCGTTTCCAGTAAAACGGTCCCCAGCTCTCTACACTCACCACACGAACAGCAGCATTAAGCTGCTGTTTTATGCTGGCATTCTGTGAGAGCGTAGTCCTACCCCAATCGAGCCGACTCATTGGTGCTCTATAATATAGCTAAAGCGTGGCTCTACCACTTATACTACGTATTGTATATATATGATAAGTCTTGACAGCCTCTATAAAAATGGCGAACCAGCTAACAGTACTAATATTAACTGGCCACTGGCGATGGCTACCTGCAATCAACTTTAATAACAGGCTACAGACACGTTGTCACTTCTGAGAACTAAGATAATCTTTCCCAGACTTAAGTGACTTTGCAACTATGAGATATGACTATAAGATCTTATCGTTCTCGAAATATGGTGATATAACCATCTTGGTAATGCCAGATTAGACATGTCTATCTAGTAACCCGATTATTCAAGTATTAATTCCTAATGACTCGGGTCGATCATCCACTTACACACTTTAACTTTCAATACTCTGTGATCTGTGAAATAATACTCGACACTGGTCGCAGCTCTGGTCAATCGTTTGGTCTGGGATGTTCAAAAATGTAATTACAACCACCAATACTTTGATGCAACCCAGGCAAGGTGAACGAATCATTCACGATTGCCACCCTACTACGCCAGATGTAAAAATGTGACGTGTTAAAGCAAATATATGGATTATTCCCGGTAAAGAATCAAGTAAATTTTTATGGGCTGGTAAAAACAAAAAATTCGATGCAAAAATATCACATAACATTTTTATTACCACATACGGCAGAACTAACAGCATCCCGCCCTTTTGTCTTCCAAATTTTTCTATCACAATACCGGTTAGAGCAGTTCCGATCATAGATCCAAGAAATAGGAGGCTGCCTAGTAAGGAGCTCTCTACATCTGTCATTGGCGCCTTAAGTAACGTTGTATGGCTGTCTTTAAACAGTTCTATTGTATACGAAGTCCATACATAAAACAACCCCGCAAGCAGTGAGCTAAATGAACCTAAAACAAGGTAATTATTATTAAAAACAATGAAATAAAAGCGTTCAGACACCAGTGGCGTAGCATGGGGTGTGCCGGGAGGGGGGGGGGGACATGGCCCCGAGCGGCATACGAAAGGGGTCATTTTCAAGCACGATTTTTTCAATAAAATTAACTACAAACTGCGCCCGTAATGTCACGTGCCAAGCGAAACCGCAAGGGTGCGTAAGAGAGGAGGCGAGATGAAGTCGAATACTGCCAAAGTGCTAGTGACAACCAACCGGCACCCGGTTGGCCAGCACTGCGGTGGTACCGAATTTTCCCGAACGCGAACAAACCAAGCTACAGCGAGTACTTAGTTATTCAATCAAACAAAGCAATCACTGAGCCACCTGCATACATCGACTTCCTGCATGTCTTACCAGGTCGTCACTCCAATTAGTGCGGGGATACCCTACGCTTCGCCTGCCGTTCGGAGGCTTCCATTCGAGAACCTTTCTTCCTCATCGGTTGTCGGTTCTTCGAGCTATACCCATTGACTTCATCTTACTAATCCGTTGAACTATGTCGGTTGCTCTGGTTCTACTGCGGCTATCCTCGTTTTTAAAGCTATCATGTAAAAAAACTCCAAGCATAGCCCTCTTCATAGCTCGCTGAGCGACCTTGAGCTTCATACAACCAGCAGTGAAGGACCACGTCTCAGATCCATAGGTAATCACTAGCAACACACACTGATTGTACAATCTCGGTTTGAGTATTTGAGGTATGCCTTACGAGAAGATGTGTCGTAATCTCCCGAATGCTGCTCAGAGGAGTTGAATCTGTCGATATACTTCTCGGTTAAAAATGGACATACCTAGTCGGACTATTTGTACCAGATAAACATACTCGTCAACAACTTCGAGCTTAGTGCTACCAACAACAATTGGCATAGGTGTGACGTAGATGTTCACATAACCTTTGTTTTGTCCATGTTCATCTTAAGACCAATCCGTTCGGAGATACTATTAAGGTCACTGAGCATAGTGCTTAGGTCCTCCAGAAATTCTGCCATAAGGACTATATTGTCGGTAAATCGAAGATGAGGGATGTGCTTGTCATTGACGTAAATACCGTATCCTTTTCAGTCCAGCCGCAGGGTATGTATGTGGTCTATGGTGCTTCTATTAAGTCTTTTCGGAAACCGACTCAAAATTGTTGAGTCTGATTCGTAATAACTCTCGAAAACAGCACGTAGACCCGGCTCTGAAGGGAAATCGGTCTGCAGTTCTTCAAGAGAGTATTTTCGCCTTTCTTGAAGAACAAGGTCAACGTACTTCGGCTCTACTCCTCCGGAGTAATATCACTATGGAGAGCGATTTTAAAGAACCTTCATTTACCGGTTTTTCATTCGGTTTTAGAAGATCCGCTGTAATTCCATCTTTTTATAATAGTATTAGGAGAAAAACGGGAGCTTGAAATTTCTTTTGAACTCCCAAGATTAATCTGGAGGAGGCGTATGTTTGGCGTTGAAAATGTAGATGTTGGGTTATCGTATGAGAACGAATCGAAGCGAACAATGTTTACTTCAGTAGAGTCAGTAACTTCTGAAATTAATGATCGATTCCAACAGCTGCAAAGTCTAGCCCAAAAATATGCCTTTTTAATGCCTGCAGTAATATTGGGGCGGAAGAATTGAACTTAAATCAAGCTCGTAGGATATAAATACAGAAGAGTTCCAACAGGAGCGTGCGCGTCTACGTGCGTTGCAGTTGCAACGGACTCAGACTTTAAAAAAGGTTTATTAAGTCCGGCTATCTGTTTTTATTAAAATACGTAATTGAGCCCAAACTTAAAGATGGCTTACCCAAACATTGTCATAATAAATATTAAAATTAAAAAAAAATTAAAATAATGCTGAGGATTTTTTAACATCACGCACGCACGCACGCACGCACGCACGCACGCCACGCAGCAGCACGCACGCACGACGACACACACACGTGTATACATACATACACATGTAGTTATCAAATAAGACTTGAACTAACGAGCTAACTAACAAGGTCAGCCGAACTCTATTTTGTTAACCCTTTGGCAATATAATTAGCTATACAGTAGTGGAGACTCATGGAACCGACGCGTATTTTTTCAACGATACTACTGCCGTATCTAGCTAAAGAGGGTACGGTTTTGGTTGGGCTCATCTGTTCTGGATGTCTGGTCTGGAAGTCTGGATGATTGGCTGTAATTTACATGAAATTTCTTCCACAATACAGAAGAAAAATTCAAATTAAATTTTATTTCTTTATTGAAAAAAAAAACATCATCGTCGTCTTCAGAGCATCAAAAGTACACTTCTGAATAAAGGCATTCCCCAAGGAATACCGTAATGCACGGTCTTGGTCCGATAACCGATGGGGAACAAAGGTTCTCGAGTGGCAGCCTCGTACCGGTAGGCGTAGTGTAGGGCGCCCCCCCACTAGATGGAGTGACGACCTGGTAAGACATGCAGGAAGTCGATGGATGCAGGTGGCTCAGGACCGTGCTTTATGGCATTACTTGGGGGAGGCCTATGTTCAGCAGTGGGCTTGTGAAGGGCTGTAATGATGATGATGAAGATCAAAAAATATTCTTTATATTCATCAGTATGTAATTTGTATCTAAGTATAATTTCCAAAACACACGATTCCCAAAAAAAAATCGGTCATCCAGGTTTTGCGCCTGTGCGAGCCAAAATTGACAAAAGACAAAAATGATTAAGATGAATTAAGACAAAATTGTTTTCACTTAAGCAATAAGGGCAATAAGGCAAATAAAAGTGCTAAGAGCACTTTCTGCATCTCTCGTCAGTTCGCCACCTTAATAGCATTGAGCGGTCCTATAATTAATTCCCTTACTGTGGGGCTTCCACACGTCAATTTTTCTTCCCCATCGGTTTTCAGTTCATCGGGATACAAAGCCGGCCTATCGCCACTTCACTATACTGATTTGTTGGAATTTTTAGGTTACTCCGGTTTTAATGGAGATACATAAAAAAATTAAGAAAATAAATATTCTAAAAATCAACTCACATGAAATCGACGTGTGTATCTGATGTAATTTCCCCATCTTAATGTCTTCGCTTCTAATTTAACAGTACGTAATCACTACTATATGACAAATTCATGAATGACTGAAACTGTTAAAATTCAATCAGATTGCAATATTTGATTTCACATTGTTTGAGTGTATAAAATTAATACAATTAAACATTGTGAAATCAAATATTGTAGTTGTAAGATAACACAGCAGCTGTAACGAACTTTATCTATAGTGATGTAATCTCTAATAAATAAAAATTAGTTAAATTACTATATTGTAATATTTTGCTGCAGGTAATGAACTCAACTGGGGAAGGACCACGGTCTCACAAAATACCAGAGTAAAATAGCACCTCAATGCTGTTAAGTTTCGTGTGATGAGTGTAGAAAACCAGATACTTTTTACTCAAAACAAGGTATTCCACATTTGTCCTCAGGAGCGACGACGCATTGACAATATAATTCTTAGTTGAGGATAAATGCAGATGTCTATGGGCCACAGCATTCACTTACCATCAAGCTGCCTCTCTGAAACCTTCCTTCTCCATCTGTGTCAGTTCTTTAATACGTCCAGCCCATTTCCAATTTAGTCTACTTACGAGTATCATTGGGCTATGTAATTTATGCCTCTCTATACCTACCATTCAGACCAAATTAAAGTAATTCAGGCAATGCTTCTTGGCGGCAAAAACAGGGCAAAAAGATGATTACTAACCTTACGGACTCCTAGCTAGAAATTGAATAACTTTTATACAAATATTTATTAAAATATTAAGTGTAGATGTAATCTATTTTCATGGTTAGAAAACTTTCACATCTACCTTTAATAAAAACTAAAAAGTAAAGTAACATCTTATATACGTCACAATGCTGGGCACCGTGCTTAACTTGTAGTGGTGGTGTAAGAATATACAGTACCATGTCATCCCATGGGTATCGTATGAGACCACAGAGGAAAACAAATCAGGAGATGGGCAGCAACCTCCTCTTAATAACGTCTAAAAATAAAAACCTGCGGTTGCAGCCTTCCAGCAAATTTGTGTGCAATTTCACACAAATTTGCTGGAAGACCAACAAGAAATCCAGTGGATTTTTTTTTTTGAAAAAAGCTTAACATCATGTATGTTACACAATTAACAATAGAAAACAAATTAGGAATATCTTGATAGCGATCACCCCATTCCAAGGGGTTAATATCACCTATAAATTTCTTAACCTTTTGTATGTACAAGCTTTGTTTAATAAAGTTTTTGAACTTTTTGAACTTTTGCTGTACGCAAATTAAATTTACTAGCACCGACTAAGTAATTTGAACCAGTAAGGATCCTTCAAGGGATAGCTTCGTGATCGTTAGTATTTTAAGCCCACATAACACATATTTACGTGGTAGAGCCACGCTGCAGCTATATTGTGGTTGCAGCACGAATGGGTCGGCTCGACAGGGGTAGTACCACGCTCTCACAGAATATCAGCGTAAAATAGCAGCTTAATGGTGTTTCGTACGGTGAGTGTAGAGAACCGGAGACACTTTTTACTGGAAATGAGGCATTACATCTCAGTTTTCAGGGCTGGCAACTCATCTGGATTTTTTTTTTATTTATAGCATAGGGTGACAAACGAGTACACAGTCCACCTGATGGTAAGTGGTTGCTGCGGCCCATAGACATCTACATCTATCCTCGATTACGAATCTAAATTCAGATGCGTTGTCACCCGTGAGGACTAGGATGGAATGCCATCTGAGTTTTGATTTTTAATTGAAGATGTAAATGTCTATGGGCCACAGCATCCACTTAACATCAGGTCGACTGTGTGCTCGTTTGTCACCCTTATACTATAAAAAAACACAATATTATCATTATCTGTTCTGTTGTTATACGAACGCTTTACTATATTTTAGTTTTGTTAACTTTTATATAGCGTATCAAGACAAGTTATCTTGTTATACTAATTTACATAATTCATTTAATTACACCTACCACAAATTCATTACACTTTCAAGGCAACTGGTAGAAAATGCCTATAGGCATTATATCCAACCTTTGTAATCTCCAGAGGCGACAGAGGGAAAGAAACCAGAAGATGGGCAGCAATGTGTTCCAAATAACAACTGGGGAATATAAAAAATGCAATACATAAACAAATATTAGTGTTACTTTAAGTGTTGTATTAGTTATTTGCAAATGTATATATGTATTTATGATATTATCTTTTTTGTATTATATTTTGCCACTTGTCTTGAAAAAAGTTCGGGAGAAACGACCTCGCAGCAGGATCCTCCTTCACCACGACAACGCCTCGTCACACACCGCCAAGCAAACAATCGACTACTTGGCGACGTCAGACGTGGAATCACTGGGTCACCAACCCTATAGCCCCGGCCTCGCACCTTGCGATTTTTATTTATTTCCGAAAATAAAAGAAAAACTTTGTGGAAAACGTTTTATGGACGCCGAGGAAGCAGTGGCAGCGTTTTAAAATGCTGTCGAAGAGACCTCTAAGGACGAGAGGGCAAAGTGCTTTTCTCAGTGGTTCCATCGGATGCAGCGATGTATTGACGTAAATGGACACTATTTTGAAAAGATATAATAGCACTAATAACTTACTAGTTTGTTCAGTTTTTGATTTTCTAAGAACTTTCAGTGTCATCCTCGCAAAAATATCTGTTTTTTATAACCAATGTAACTGTCCCTATTTGAAAAACAAATTCCCGATTATTTTTATCTTATGTTCTAAACACACTGGATCTGGCAATAACATATACAATCCTCTCAACTCCATCTTACATTTTTAAGAGCTGGTTTGTCTCATATTCAGTAAGCCGCTCGAGAAACCGTCAGCTTTACAACATAAATTAGACCCGCGCGGCAGAACATTGCTTGTCATAAAACCTTGGAATATTTACGTAAACACTGCATAGAATAAAACTTATTCTTTCTAATTTTAACACCTTTATTTTATATTGGTAACTTTGTAGGCTGCAGAGGCAATGAGTCGACTATATATTGCTAGAAAAACCGACTACTAAAAGGGAAGAAATATTTTCAAGTGACAGCCCAGTTCCAAGTATTGCACCTGTTAAAAATGCAGTAAGCGATGGATGCGGGTGTCTCGGAATCGTGCTTTTAACGATCTATAACCTATCATTCTATAATCGATCTATCCTATCGTCGATCTATAATTATGATGATTGTAACATAACCAAAATATGAGTAAGAATCCGTAATAAATGTTTTTCATAGAATAGGAATGACAAACAAGCACTCCACCTGATGGTAAGTGGATGCAAATGCGTTGCTTGACAATTAATGTGCGATGCCTTGTTTCTAGTAAAAGGGGTATCCGCTTCTCTACATTTACCATACGAAACACAGCAGCATTAAGCTACTATTTTACGCTACAATTCTGTGAAAATATGGTCCTTCCCCGGTCCAGCCGACCAATTCTTACTACAACCATAATATAGCTGCAGCATAGCCGTGTAGCGCGTTGTAAGAATATCTACTAGCCCATATCGTCCCGTGGGTGTCGTAAGTGGCGCAGAAGTACACAAACTTGGAAACTAAAGAAATAAAAAACTTTGTGTTGCCAACCCGCCTGCCAAGCTTGGCAACTATGGCAAAATGAGGCAATCTATGGGGGAGACCTATGTTCAGCAGTGGACGAATGGTGAATGTATGGTAACGGATGGTTACAACGTGTGTAAAGTAATTTTACTGTCTGTTCTTTTTACTTTTTTTGGTAAAACTGTCAAAAAAATTTAACATTACGGAGCCTGAAATAAATACACATATTATTTTAAAAAAACTTTATTACACATTTTTTACATACAATTTACGTACATTTAGTTCTTATAAAAATAATTCTGAATTTCATAAACTGTATTTTATAGTTTACTTATAACAAATTTACAAAGTATCAACCAATTGAATTTTGTGCAAAATCCAAATAACTTAAAGTAATTCAATCATAATTCATTGGGTGGGTTAAAGACTCCAAAATGTTATCTTTTATTTTCTCGTATCTGGTATATCTGTGAACTTCTTTTGTACTGATGTTTCTGTTCAGAATCTCCTCGGTCTGCAAAATAAAGGTTAAAATTAAATATACAATAAGCCATTGCTTTGCAAAAATTCCGATTATTAGATACATAAAAATTTATTAGTGCACAAAAACACACTAATGGCACGGAGATTTACATAATTTTTATGGATTTTGGGTGGAACTGATAAGCAAGGAAATTATTCATTTCAAGATTACATATACGTCCCGGCATGTCAGATTTGTTAAACCACAAATCGTCGCAAAAGAATTTTGATTCCTACCGAGGATAATTCGCGAGACTATTGAAATAAAAAAAAATAAAAAAATTTCAATAGAGAAGAATATCAATAATACTTCTGTAAAACTTTAATATACTGTGAGCTCGTTCTGCGTAAATTGAACTTAAAAAATAATATTCAAAAGCTGAAGGGTGCCGGGCTATGATATCGGGACATTATACATCTCAGTCCCCGTGACCATGCGTGCTGTAAAGCACCCGAATAGTCGTGAATTAAAAATAAATTAAATAAGTCAAAATATAAACGATAAAATCCGTCAGTTTTATTCAATAACATATATTGATATGAGTATTGCACAAGGCATAACAACCCCAGGGTAGGGTAAAAGAGCCAGTATAGTAACAGACTGTGAGGTATTCCATCGTAGTCCTCGCTAGTGACAACGCGTCTGCTCCTGTAATAAAGGAATTATTTTGTATTGGTTACAGATGTTTAAAGGATGTAGTACAATTACCTAGTGGACTGTTTCCTTATTGGTCACTATAAGATTAGTAAGAAATAAAAATAAACAAATCAAATGGAGTTGAAAAATCACAGAACACAATGTACTCTGATCCAATATTCTATTTGTGTGTTCTTTTTAAATACTTTTCAACAATTATTATATGCCATTATTAGACTAATATTTGCGTAAAACGTACGACACTTCTTTGAGTAATTATTTTTTATTAATTTTTTATAATTAATTTATATATTAACCACCATCAAGTAGACAGTATGTCCATCATTACATTATATTAAATATATATATATATATATCCCTTGCCAGTGCAATAACACTACAAATGAAACATAACTTTTAATTTTTTTCAATGTTAAAGATTAAAGTATATTAATAAAAATTACGCAACCATTTCTCAATACTCCAAGCATACCGGCATTATCGTCTTCTATCTTCTATCAACAAAGACTTCAAAATCTAGACGGAGATTCCAGAATGGATACAAAAAATTGGAGGTTGTGCGACCATATAGCATGCATTATACTTTACATAGTTACATAGTACTTTACATAGCATTTACACTTAGTATTAACAATAATTTTGTGTGTAGAACTGAAAAGGATAACCGACAACTTTTGGCTGACCATCCAAAAACTGTATAACCCAAAAACTTATACAAATTAAAAACCAACTCGCCTGTATTCGAGAATCTGGGCAACGGCCACAGGCTGAACGGATAAATATAGGTAACGTGCATTTTTTTCACGGCTATTATTTTGTCCTTCACCACCCTGGACTCTGAAACAAATAAGAAATGTACCAATTAACATACTTCTATAGTTTCACAAGGAAGAACATATGTTTAAGAATTTAAGTAAAAACCGATCCCGTTCATATCGCAGTTATATTAATTGTTGGCCCAACCCGAATAATGTTGTTATATTCCGAAGTGCTGAAAAAAAATTAAAAAAAATTGAGCATGATAAATTATTATCATTTAAGGCAACACCGCGGAAAAATGCACCTCCTTTCATCGAATAGTATAGGACTATGATACCACTAACGAAACTGGAATTTTGATATAGGTAAATACATGTCTTTATCTTGAATTTGCTTGTTCAAAAACACGTTTATATAATTTTGACTCGATCATAATTATTTGCGAAAACACCTCTAAAAATCACTATATTTGAAATTACAACGAAATTACTTAATCTTGGGAATCACTCAAATATATTCATAACATGAATATTCATAATTTACTTACTCATTATTTTGATTATTTAAATCAATAATTTTTTTAAAATTTTTTAAAGATTCTGACAATTTCTAAGCGGTTTTAATCGTCGTGGGCGCTACGCAATTTTAGACGTTTAGGCGTTTTTTAAGTTTTTATTGAAATTATGTATTCACTCGGATCAGTAGGGCGTTAGCCCGGAGCCACTTTTTCGATGTGTCGTCTTAATCTCTACTTTATAATTCATGATTGTTTCTTTCAGATTTTCCTCAGGGATACTTTTGAAGATATGCAGCGTATCTTCAACGATCCTAAATTATTAGGACAGCAATTTTATTTATTCACGAAAACTACTAAACACAAAATATTTTTTTTATAAAACTGTAATAGTTAACGAACTAACAGTCAGTACAGTGGTAGCTGATGGTCATTGGCTACTACATTCTGTGGACACCTTTAACCAACATCAAACTCAAAATCTGAGGTCTACGATGGAATGCCTCGCAACCTGTAATTATAATGACTCTCTATTCCCTTAGACCGGAATATAACAATAGAAGCAGTTTTAAATGGCGACAGAAGTAAGTAAGAGCGGCTGATGGACTCCTAGTCAGAATAGAGAGTCCTGTTACCTAAAACATTCGGTATATATTTTTGAAATAGTACTTCTAACTATTTTTATTTAATACCCATCCGATTATTAACTTCCTAGTCGGAAGTTATTGTAATGGGTCCGATTTTGCAAATTGGAAATTTTAATACGTCTCCACGTTTCAAGGTCTTTAGAATCGAATAGTATGATTTTTAAGCGGATGTCCGTGTGTGCACATGTACGTATGTATGTAACATACATACATATGTATGTTCGGATTCAATTTTTGCCTCGTGTATCTCGAGAACAAAGAGTGATATTGACATCGGACCAGTTATATTTAACGCATAATTATGTAACTTACACCTCATTAAATTTTGAGCAAAAACGGTCAAGTCGTTTTTTGTGCCGAATGAAAAATTGTATAAAATTTTTTTTTTCTCTCCACTGGGAAGTTAGTCGTGTGGACCTTTCGTGTCACACCTAGACCGCTTTTTTTAAATCGCTTTCTAATTTATGCCCCAAATTTAATAATATTCTACAGACGTGTGGTTCACACGTCTGTTGAATATTAAAATTAATCAAATATCAATAATCTACGTGAAATTGTATCTGAGAAAAACTTCAGTGGCAGACACCGAGATGATTCTACAAAATAAGTATTCCTTTGTACCAATAAAAGGAACACTAAAAAACCTTTCGAGATAAAATACATCCGGAACAAATGAAATGAAATTACAACAATTTTAACACTTCAGCAGCCCCTGATCGGAACTTTTGATTCTTACACGTGATAGTAGGTAATAGACGTTCTAATTCAATTCAATCGCATCAAGACTGAACCACAATTGGTTTGATGTTATCATAGTTTGAAATAAGCGCCTCTCCACTGTAGTTTTGAAGTCCAACAATTTGATATGAACGAAGAAGGAGAAGGGAGGCCATATGGTAGCTACGTAAGAGATGACTACGGAAAATGTCAGAGGTTAAGAAGATCTAACAGATAGACGACGGTAAAAGCATCTTGTATAAGTCAGACATGAAATATCCAGACCGAAGATGATGAACAACGTCAAAGGTGGGAGGATAAATCTGATAATGCAATCATCATGCCGCCTTCCAAGTGTGAGGTTAAAGAGAAATTCTCCTTTGATTCAAAGAAGCCTGGGCAGATGAAGATGAAGAAGACTAAATAAAGACCCTTATAGAGTTCCGCACATATTTATATTATAGGTCAAATTTTGAAGTTTGCAAGTGCTGTACTTGACAAACAAATATTTTCGCGTAGCGTACCGAATTACTTATCAAGATTTTTTTTCGCCATAAAATATGTTATTTTAGTGACGTAAATGTGTCCAACATAAATGTATTTTAAACAGTACAAAGCATAATGTTAAACAAATTTTACGAAACTACAAGTATTACAACCTTAACTTACGAAATTACAAGTTTTGTTCGGTGTGGTGGCAACGTGAGAAGTGAGAAAAATCCTTGACATTTTGACAATTGCCCCTTAAGTGTGAAAAGCAACGAAGTATCAACACAACACCGGCGCCAGATGTCGAGCGACCCCTTGTAATATCAAACTTTTTGTAGTTTTTTTTAATAGAAGAGCTGATGTTGAGTGACTACCGCCGCCCATGAACATCCCCAACACCAGGGGAATTACAGGTGCGTTGCCGGCCCTTTAGAAAGGAGTAAGCTCTTTTCTTGAATTTAATGCAATGCAGTGTATTTAGTACCATTTATTCTCATATTTAAAAAAATAATTTAATCTAGCTAATAAAATATATATATATATATATATATATATATATATATAATAGCTAATAAATATTAGAGGGGCGAAAAGTGGATTGCGGAAACCCGTCTGGCTACGCTGAATGTATGTGGAGGAATGAATGATAAGATGGATGAAGTATGCGAAATTATGAATGACAGAGGAATAGATGTGTTATGCGTGAATGAGACGAAACGAAAGGGAAAGGATGCCACTGCACATGGCACGTATACCGCGTATTGGTCTGGCGTAGACGAGACCGAACGGGCATGCCAGGGTGTCGGTTTCATCCTTTCAGAAAGAATGGGTCAATGTGTGAAAGAGTATGAATGTGTAAGCCTGAGGCTGCTATGGATACGAATTAAAGTGGGCTTAAAGAAGCTGTTCCTGGGTTACGCCCCAGACATGTCTAAGCCCACTTACATCCGAGAGCAGTTTTGGGACATGGTAAGGATGGTGTTGACAAAATGTAAGGAAAATGAAAATATTATTATGTTAGGAGACTTTAATCGAAGGGTTGGGGTGAAGAGGTCTGGTTATGAAAGGATATTGGGAATGTTTGGTGATGAAAGTATAAATGAGAATGGTGAAGACCTCCTCACCGTATGTGTGGAAAAGAATCTTTTTGTGACGAATACTTTTTTTCGTCATAAGAAGATTCACATGTATACACGGGAAAGAGGTGATGATAGAAGCATGATAGATTTCGTAATTGTGGATGAAAGAATGAGGAGCGCAGTCGTACATACAAGGGTTTACCGGGGGTCCAACGTAGGGACGGATCATTACTTGGTCTTATGTCGAATTAATGGTCTTTTCAAGCGTTGGCGGCATCGGACAACTGTGTCTACCACTGCGTTACAGCGTATAAGAATAGAGAAGTTACAAGATGAAGATGTGAAAGAGAAGTATAAATGTAGACTGAGAGGAAATATTAGATGTTTGAATGAGTTGTGTATGAATGATTTAGACTTGAATACTGTGTGGGACAATATTAAGAAAGGTTTGGTGGATGCCGCCACTGAAGTATGTGGTGTAAGTAAGAGAACAAATGAAAGGAAAATTAATACGTTGTGGTGGGATGATGAGGTACGGGTGGAAGTTGAATCAAAGAAGAAAGCATGGTTAGATTTACTAGCAACCAAAGCTGGTAATTCTTCTGGTATGAATGATGAGATTGAAAGGAAAAAGGCAGAATTTAGACGTCTAAATAAGAGAGTAAAAGTAGTTGTTGAAAGGAAAAAGAAAGAAAGAACGGATAAGAATGATAGAAGGATATCTGATAATTTCCAGGCTAACATAAAAATGTTCTAGAAACTCGTAGGAACTGCCAGGGGGAAATACAAAACAGCCTATAATGAATGCTATAAGAGACGAGAATGGATGTATTCTGAATGATGAAGCTTCGAATTTAAACAGATGGAAGGAATACTTTGAAAGCGTGTTTATGAGTGAAGAGTCGTCTGAATTAAATGAACTAGAAATTCCGAAAGAAGTGGAAAGGGGTATGGAGATAAGTGTAGATGAAATAATGAAAGCAATGAAAAGCATGAAAGCAGGTAAGGCAGCTGGATATGATAGAGTATCACTCGAGATGCTAAGGGCTGAGAGAGGGAGTGGTGGCAGGCCTGCTGTACACCTTGTTTAATTTATGTTGGGAATTAAAACGGGTACCGGATGACTGGTGTAAAGCAGTTATAGTACCAATATTTAAAGGAAAAGGGTCACAGCGGGACTGCAAAAACTACCGTGGTATCAGCTTGCTTAGTATTGTGGGTAAACTGTATGCTAAGGTGTTAATTGAAAGAGTTATGAAAGAAACTGATGGAAAAATTTGGGATGTGCAAGCGGGTTTTAGAAAGGGAATGGGGTGTACAGATCAAGTCTTTTCCATGCGCATGATTGCGGAGAAGTTTTTAGCCAAAAACCAGAAAGTTTTTTTGTGCGTTCATGGACTTGGAAAAGGCTTATGACAAAGTGGACAGGAATGTGTTATGGCAAACACTGAACTCATATGGGTTGAGCGCTGGTTTGATACAGGCATTAAGGTCTCTTTATAGGGACTCTAGTGCTTGTGTCAGGATCAATAGGGTCTACTCGGACTGGTTTGGCATCCAAAAAGGTGTCAGACAGGTCTGTGTAGCTTCCCCTTGGCTGTTCAACCTATTTATGGACAGGTGTTTGCAAAC